ATGAACATTTAAGTCTGCCTTGGTCTCTGTCACGCAGATGCGTTTCCTGTAAAAATATTATGTCAGCATCCAAGTGCTTGCAATGAGAGAGTATCTTTGATCGCTTGACAGGGCTATTCATGCCCCTAACATTCCAGCTCAAAAATCTGATTGAAGATCTAATGTCTGAGTTAGAGCGGTTAGTGTCAGTCATCTAGGTGTTATCATCGAGGTTTAGTAGAAGATAACAAGGGAGAGGTAGATGAGAAAAACCCCATGCAATGGTAAGAAAAGAAAAGAAAAAAAAGAAAAAAAGAAAAAAGGAAAAGGTAATGATGAGACTGCAAAAAGGATAAAAACACAGAGACATAACCCCCAAAGTACCCACAACCCACCCAAACCCACCCAAACCCACCCAAACCCATCCCGCACATCCAGTGTTCCCCAAACGATGGGAACAGCAGTGCTAGCTCCAACAGGAGCCATTCTCAGGGTGCTGCTTACGGCTATGTAGCTACAAGTAACTGGTGAAACCCTGGAGAGCATTAGGTTTCAAAACTAGAAGGCACTACTAATATGTAAATACACTGGCCCGACAACTATTGACAATAAGGTAGAATTAAAAGGATGGAGGAAATAATAACAATTTACAACACATAACAACAGGAAAGAGCTGCCTTAGCTGAAAGTAATAGAGCAGAAAAGGAAAAGGGTGGAGGAAAGCCAGATGATCCCAGTCATAGTCATGCATTCCTTCAACAAAAACTTATCAGGTGTAGAGACTCAGGATTTACAACCTATCATCCATTCCCACATAGATTAATAGGAAAATAAAACGCAAGTGTGAAATTCATCTTGGTAAAACAAAACCAGGTAAAAAAAAAAAAAAAAACAGTCCGTCATACACACAAAAATACTATTGTCCATGTGTGGCCCCTAAATAAAACAAAGTCATTCAATGGAATAAACGAAAAGGTTAGCTTATAATAATGAGGGAGGAGTATGTCGTGTTACTCAACTCACCAATACTTTTAAATCACAGTTGAAGGATATGCATAACGTGGGAGCCCCGGACCAATTGACCGCACAGGATTGCGTTCTTATCTGGATAATGTCTTAACGAATATCTTGGCCTCCTCCGGTGACGTGAAGTCGCGCTGGACACCTTCATAGGTGATGCGTAGTCGCGCCGGGTATAGGAGACCAAACCTGACTCCCTCAATATCACGCAGCAGCCGGCGAACTTCACTGAAAGCGGCACGAGCCCGTGCCGTTTTCGGAGTGTAATCGGGGAAGACGGAGATGGTCATATTCCGTACTTCAATCCGCTGTAGCTCTCTCGCCTTCCTGAGAATACCGGCACAGTCCATGTCATAGTGGAGCTTAGCCACTATCGCACGGGGACGATCACCTGGTTTGGGCTTGGGCATCAGAACCCAGTGGGCTCTCTCCACTAGCGGTTCTTTCCCGAGCGCGAAGGCCTCCGTCAGCAGTTTAGACACACCCGTGGTAGACGTAGCAGCGGAGTCGTCCTCCGGGACACCGATGATCTGACGCCGTGATCTGGACTCCAGATCCTCACACCTGTCCTCTAACTTCCCCATTTCCTTGGTCAAATATTCCACTTTAGTTTGAAGGGATAGAATGTCGTCGGTGCAAGTAGACAGAGACTGCTCCATCTCCGTTACAGTGCTCTTGAGCCCGACGAAGTTTTGCTGGACTGCACATATGCTGGAGGATAGTTCACTTTTCATAGCGAGCAGCTCGGTCTTAATTGAAGAGAGATTTTCGCCCAGGGCTGCATGTAGCTCAGATCTAAATATCGCAGTGACATCTTCACGGAGAGTGGAGTGGAGCTCGGTTTTAAGGGAGGCGACGTCCGTCAGCTTGGGCTGTGTATCACTCGTTCCCGGCGGTGAAATTGGCTCACGACAGGACGTGGCGGCCTCGTGGGTAACAGGCCGCAGGTGAGTCTGAATTGTATTTCCTCCTTTGTTAACTTTTGGCGGCATTATAGGAGAATAAATCAGAAGCGGTTCGGATTAAAGAAGGTTATAATAAGACGCTGGACCTTAAAAAACTGAAAAGAGTGCCTTAAAGCGTGTGGAAGAACATGCTCTGCAGGAGCTCTCCGCTGTGCGACTTACTCCATGACTCGCTAAGCCGGAAGTCGATCATACTGTTGACTTGTCCTGTCCTGATGTTCCAGTCACCGGATTCAGTTTGTTCCTCAGTCAGCTGTGGTCCATCTGTTCCTGTGATTCAGGAACTCTGTCCTGATTGCTTCTAGTTCATCCTGAACTCATAAGTTCTGGTTGGAGGTCCTGAACCTCCTCAGAGTCTCTGTCATGGTCCCGTTGCTGCTAAACTCCCACAATGCTCTCTGCTGCCACCATGAGCTGTAGTCCGAGTGACGCCTCCTCTGGTCTCTACAGGACTAAACAGGGAGAGGCTCCACCTGGTGGAGCAACCAGGTGCTGCAGCTGGTCGATGGTACATTTACTGACATGTAGAGAATACAGGTTTTCTCCATCTGTTGGAGCTTCAGTACATCCTACCCTCTACCCTCTAACACTACATCTAGACCAGGTTCTACTGGAGCTTTACAACAAGGCTCCACCTACAGAACACTAAGGAACAAACTGGAGGCAGAGATGCAGTTTTTACTAAATGCATTGCAGAGATATTCAGCATAAACACTGGATTGATTTTAATAACATTAGCGTACTTGAAGTGTGGGTAACTGAAGCAAGTGGTATCAGATTTAGTGTCTGCAGACGGTATCTACAGACACTACATATTAAATGGCATGGATTACATCAGGAGACAACAAAACATGATCAGAACAAACCTGGTAATCATCACACACTCCAGTTCAGGGAGCTGCAGCAGCTGTTTTGCATGTTGTGCTGCTGCAGCTCCATGAACCCAAACAGCTCAAAACAGAGTGTTGGAGTACGAGGAGCACAACTCCTGGCTTCACCACTCTTGTGACAGTCTGGTATAAACACTCACCTGTTGGTTGAGATCAACCACACTGATGCCATTGACCTTCTTCTCCAGCGGCACCAGATCTCCTTTGCTGTTGCACGTGCTCAGTTTGCGTTTGACCTCCTGTCTGGCGTCCATAGAGTCCTCGACAGCTTTGTTAGCATTTCTCACCCTCTTCTCATCTGACATGAAGGATTTATGAAGCTTCTGGATCTCATCCAGCAGCTCTATCAAAGGTTCAAACACAAGTGGAGATGGTGAAGCAGCAGGTCTGTCCTGTGGTGGTGTTTCATGCTACCTTGTCTTAGATTCGCTTCCTAATAATTATATTGACTGAAGGGTTTAGACTGAATTTGTATGCATTCGATTCTATATAACACCTCGTGGCTCCGTTTCTTTTTCCTGTGAGACTGACTGGAATTCATTCAGGTGAATTTAAGTGACTGGACATGAAAATTGGGGTTGTGCCTGACTTCTACAAGCTCATCTGCAGTTTACCTGAAGACTAATAAACATCTGTGTACCTTCTAGTTGTTCTTTGTCCTCATTGCGTGAGTCCTTAATGAGTTTCTCCTTCAAGCTGTTCAGCAGCTTCTTGAACTCCAGATGAATGTTGTCGATTTCAGTGTTGAGGAGAGGAGAGGGGTCGATCAGGATCACGTTTGGATCAATAGCATCTTTCAGCTTTCTGCAAGAAAAGAATGTTTAAAAAGATTTGATTGCTGAGTTGAACTGCTTACAGAAAGAATCAACCTCCTGACCTGACCTCCTTATGCTACAGATGTCCCGATCCGATCCGAGCCATTTAATATTTAGTGTCTGTACTGAGTCCAAACTTAATGTCATTATCATGATACATAGTTCATGTACCATCGACCAGCTGCAGCACCTGGTTGCTCCACCAGGTGGAGCCTCTCCCTGTTTAGTCCTGTAGAGACCAGAGGAGGCGTCACTCGGACTACAGCTCATGGTGGCAGCAGAGAGCATTGTGGGAGTTTAGCAGCAACGGGACCATGACAGAGACTCTGAGGAGGCTCAGGACCTCCAACCAGAACTTATGAGTTCAGGATGAACTAGAAGCAATCAGGACAGAGTTCCTGAATCACAGGAACAGATGGACCACAGCTGACTGAGGAACACATCATGAGACTGTTGAACATTAGCTCAGAATAAACGTCCCCTATGATTAATTTGTGTGATCTGCTAAAAAAAATAAAAAAAAATAAAAATGATGGTTGAATATTTAGAAAAATAGTCCAAGTTTCCACCTGCAAAAAACGGCGTTCTGTCTTTACGACACACGTGACGGCAGACGTAAACGGATGATCAGACTTTGATACCAGTCATTTAAAACATGTCTTTACGAGCACCGATCCTGATCTTTGGCGTCACATGGGGACATTCTAGGTTAGATGTTTAAAACCTGCAGGGGAGAAGCAGAACTATCCCTTTGATGCTACTTTAACATTGGAGAACCATGTTTAGAAAATGTGAACCACTGAGGTGTAACTGCTGGCGTTTCCTTTCAGTTCATACTCACACAACTTACCTGATCCTCAAAAACAGCTTCTGCATCTTCTCCACCTTTGGCAGGGACAGTCCCGTCAGGTTCGAGTGGCTGTCCAGCTTGGAGTGCATCTCCAACATCCGTTGCCGGTGGTGACGTCCTGTGAGGTGCACATCGTCGTCGTGGCGAGGGATGAAGGTTCTCATCCTCTGGGCGGCTCGCTGGACATCGGTGACGTTTTCAGTCCAGAGGGCGGTGCAGGCATGGCACTGCTCACAGTATGGGAACGCCGAGTCGTAGCCGGGGGCACACTCGTCACAGAAGATACCGGTGACGCCGACCCGACAGATGCACTCGCCGGTTTCAGGGTCACATGACGGACGTTCTGTTCCCTCCAAGTTACAGTCACAAGCTGAAAACAAAATGATTGAAGTAAAAACAAGCAGCAGCTGGTCCGGGATAGGGTTAATGTTGGAGCTGGTTGCTTACAGACACACTGCAGGTCTGGATTCCCAAAGTGATTTTCTCCACATTCGTCACACTGTCTTCCTCCAAACTCAGGACGACATGGACACTGACCCGTCACCTGAATGCACCACAACTTTATTCATTGAATGTTTCATCATCAGTTGTTCATCATGTAATAAAATGCCTATAACTGATTTAATTAGTTCACCAAACGGTGATGTGGAAGTACAATAAGTGAACTGAACAACGGACACTTTGTTCACCTGCTCTGCAGTAAAAGGTAAATCTCACAGAAAAACAGTCTCAGACCAAAACCTGGACTTGGACCATGTGTCTGCGGACGTCTTGCCTTGTTGCAGATGTTGGACAAAGAGTTGACGGAATCACAGTTGCAGGCCTGACATCCTGAAGCTCCGTCCAGGTTCCAGTATCCGTCCCCACACTCGTCACAGAGGTCTCCAATCACCTCCGTCCTGCAGGGACACTGTCCTGTGACTGGATCACAGAAACAGGGACTCCCCAGAGGACACTGGGTCACCTGTGTCCCCCGCCGGTCACAGGAGCATTCTGGGAAATGCACAGTATACATGTATATATGTTACGTTTCCTGTTTACAGTTAAAGACATTTTCCCATTGTTAACAAAAAAGACCAGATGGTGGTCTCCAGGTATCAAGGAGAAAGCTAAAGCAGCAGGACTGAGGCAGATCCAGGACCAGCTTTTACGGGGTTGTTTGAGGAAACAACAGGTCACATAGGTTTTGTGTGTGTTTGCTACCAGAGTGTGGGTATTGGTACTGATTCGATCCAACATGGTGTCATCCTGGGTTCTCATGTATTTCTGGACCTTATCATGGTCTCCATGTTCAGACTGTGGACTGAAGTGCCTCTGCTGTTTGCGGATGAGGTCGGATTCAGATCAACTGGAGCGTGAGACGGATGCATCGGTCACTTCATGCTCATGAGCTCAGAAACCAGCAGCAGCTGCACAGTGCATGTGTTTTGGGTGTACTTGCTGACTTGTCTGTGTGTTGTTGTCCTTACCTTTGCAGTCCTGGTCCAGGGCGTTGCCGTAGTAACCAGGTTTGCAGGTCTGGCAGCGCGGTCCCATTGTGTTGTGAAGGCAGCGCAGACATTCTCCTGTTGTGCCATCGCAGGCGTCGCGATCGCTGAGGTCGATGTTGCTGTTGCACGGACACTCTTTGCAGAAGGCATCCGGCAACGTCAGGTCGCCATAGAAACCGGGGCTGCATCTGTCGCAACGTGCACCTGAGAGAGTCGCAGCAGGTAACGATCAGTGTTGGGACACAGTCCGTCTGCTCACACATATCAGTCTGTTCAGAAAAACAAAATCCTGCCTTTCTTCCTTCTTCCTACTCTGCAGACAGTCTGCGGGCCTCTAGACTCACCTCACCTGAACACTGACACCTGTCAGACGTCACTGACCCCAGATGGACCTCACCTGAGCATGTTCAAACAGGTAAATCAACCGTACCTGTGTGCCCCTGCTGGCAGTTACAGGACAGACTGAGGGACTGGGGGTCGTATTGGCAGGAAGTGGCGAAGAATCGTCCGCTGCTTACAACGTCTGGGCAGAGGCAGGGCTGACAGGGCTGTCCGGAAGCCGGGTTACCATGGTATCCCTCCACACATCTGCATCAGCAATACAGGTGTGTCATTAGAAATACAGCGTGTGTGACCTGAAGCAGGAGTTCAGTGTGCTGAGGATCCAGCATGACAGCATGTTGCTGTGGCTGAAGTCAGCTCCTACCTGTACAGGTGAAGCACGTGCAGCAGTGACATGAGTCATAATATTTAAGTTCAGATTAGATTCAGGAGTGTTTATTAGTCTTTCACTGCACATACTCTATGAGCATGTGACAAAGCGACTGTTCTCAGGGCTGTGCAATCACAGACATGATAAAGATGGTTTTCTAGAAACAACAGAAACAGAACAAGTCGCGCCATAAATAATGAGGGTTAGTGTTAGCGTTAGCATTAGCGCAGTCGTGTGCATGTGCATACACAGGATAAAGCTTTGCGGTAATCATCACTATACCACAGTTATAGTGTGTAGTTAGTGGACTTCTGTGTGAGGAAACATAGTTTTCAGTGAATATTCATATAGAACCTGTCGCAGTTGGGTCCGGCGCTGTGCTCCCTGCAGCTCCGACACTCTCCGCTCTCTGCATCGCAGTCCTCCGACAGTCCGTTGCATTGACAGGCTCGACACTGTGGGAATCCCCAGTATCCTGTCTGACAGCGGTCGCAGCGCCGACCCGCCACCTCGGCCCGGCAGGCGCACTGACCTCTGACCTGGTCACACAGCTCTGACACCGAGCCGCGAGGGTCGCACTCACAAGCTGGGAGCAACACAAAACATCTGTTTTCATACATTTGTCTGCAATGACTGAATCCTGAGCAGGAAGTCTTTGTGTACTTTCTCGTCAGTGTGAGTTACATTTGCAGCCTTCGGATCCGAAGCCGAACATCAGCGGTGCACAGGTATCACAGCAACGACCAATCACGTTGGGTTTACATTCGCAGAGTCCGCCCACTTTACTGCAGTAAGGTCCAAGAGAGCCAATGACGTTACAGCTGCAAGCTGCCGACAGGAAGAGCGCACAGTGAGCAAGAACAAGCATGTCGGCAGACTGCTACTGGAACAGGTGTGTTCAAATGTTTGTTTATGTCTATTTCACCAAAGATCCATCCCCTTGATCTTGTGTGTATTTTGTTTTTATTTTTTGTGTGTGTACATAATTCTGTGTATTTTTGTAATTTATTTTGAAAAGACTTTTATTTTCTTAAATGACCTTTGATCTTCCACTGACTTCACTACTTCCCTCAGTGGGCTGGAGACAGCGCTGAGGAGCAGTGAGGATGAAGTGTCGCCACGTTATGACAAGTTAAACTCTGCTGAAAGTGTTCAGAGCGGTTCTGTTAGACTCACAGACGCTGTTTGATGGCTTCCTGTTAGCTGTTATGGGAGTGAACAGTTGTTTTTATGAAGTACAGCACTTCTTGTGACATGCTAATCTACCGATGCTAGGCTAGCTTGTTGTAGCATCAATAGGTAAGGATTTTTCACAAATCTGCCAACTAAATCGTTACCAAACAATTTCTTCACCAATATGTTTGTAAAGGTGGAATAACATGCCTTAAAATGTTGAAGTTCAACTCCTGTGGGAGACCTTTAAAAAAAACTGCTCAAGTCAGGGTACCGATAACCGGTTGAGGAAAAATCGTTTTCTTTTTTTTTTTTTAAATCGGGCCTTCAATAACTTATGAGGGCTCAAGTCAGGGTTTTTTCATGATTCTGAGTTGATTGTTAAAGTTTGTATTTCACCACAAACACTTCATTGTTGAAAAAGGCCACACTCACTTTTACATTTACATTCACAGTAACTTTTATTTCACATACTGACAGAACACTCAGTTATTTCTCATTTACATGTCAGAAGCTTCTAGAGTCATTGTCTATGTCTTCTTCAGACTCAACATCATGACTGTATGTGATGCCTTCACAGACTCCACAGGCCCTGATGCACGTGACCCCATTCTTCTTGCAACTGCACCACCGGTTGCTGCAATGTCCATGACAATTACAGCTTGTGAGCTTCAGTAGTTCCTCAGGAGTCATGGGGCTTAGTGGGGTTCAGAGACCTGCTCTGTAGAAGGATCCAGTCCTGGTCTGCAGAGTGAATGCTGGCAGCTGCACCCTCTGTTAGAGGTAGAGTCTCTGGTTTGAGATCATCCATCATTATCTCACTAGGGTGGTGGGGGGCTGGAGTCTATCCCAGCTGACTCAGGGTGAAGGCAGGTTCACCTGGACAGGTAACCAGTCTATCACAGGGCTACACTTAGNTACTTCTTAAGGAAGCTGAGATCATTCAGTGTCTGCACCAAGATGTTGCAGATCTTCTATAAGTCTGTTGTGGAAAGTGCAATCAGCTTTGCAGCCATCTGCTGGGGCAGTAGCATCCGAACCAGAGACTTAAAGAAGCTAAACAAGCTGATCAGGAAAGCTGGTTCTGTGCTGGGGATAACTCTGGAACCACTGGAGCTGATTGTTCAAAAAAGAATGCTGCACAAGATGATGAAGATGATGGAGGATTCTTCCCACCCTCTCCACAACACAGTGAAGAACCAACAGAGTGTGTTTAGTGGGAGGCTGCGTCAACTTCGCTGTCGAACAGAGAGATACAGGAATTCCTTCCTGCCAACAGCCATCACTTTAAAAAACAAATCCAACTGACTGAATGGTTATTATTGTTGTATATAATATATGTTATATTGATTTAAAAAAAAAGAAAGTGAGCTTTTACAAGACTGAATTTCCCTTCTGGGATAAATAAAGTATTTTTCATTTCATTTCATTTCATTTCATTTTCATTTTCATTTTCATTTCATTTCATTTCATTTTCATTAACGAGACTGGTTCTTAGAAGATGCTCCAAGGAAGTTACCTGGAGCAGATGTGGACACCTCAAGACTTGAAGGACTAGAGACAGAAGGAAGAGCACTGCTGATCTTCAGCCAGAGATGCTTCTAGACCAGAGTCTGAGAAGGTCTCCAGAATGACCATAAGAGACGACTGATGGAACAAGGCTTAGAGGGAAGAAGAGCTGCTGAGAAGCCTTTACTGAGGCCTGCAAAAATCCAGAAACACAAACACTGGACTGATGGTGACTGAAGAAGATCCTCTGGATGGACGAGTCCAAGTTTGAACTCTTCAGTTGGTATCGTCGTGTTTCTGTCCTCAGAAAAGCTGGAGAACGTTTTGATGCCAGATGCACCCGCAGTGGAACATGCTGGAGGTTCCATCATGGTACGGGCTCCATGAGTGGAAACAGTAAGCTAGTGAAAACCAACAGTGTCATGAACCAGAACGTCTACCACAACACCTTAGTGGACCATGGACCAGAACGTCTACCACAACACCTTAGTGCATCATGGATCCCTTCTGGACTGAACCTGATTGGTC